GATAACCGGGTGGTGAGTGACGCGGGACTCGGGCTCGGGGTGGCGGCAGAGCCGCGGGGAGGCCGCCCGGGGAAGCGCTGCTGCGTCCCGCGCCTCAGGCCGGGCCTGGCCTGGGGAGACCGGGGTGTAGCGCTCGGCTCGGCCCGGCGCGGCCACCAGCCCCTCAGCTGAGGGGGGAGGAGGCCTCGGTGAGTCCTGCTCCGCTCCAGGCGCCCCATCCCATTCCCCCCCCCCCCCGAGTGCGCCGGCGTATCACCGGGCGTGGGGCTGTGCGGGGACCCCGGCCTCCCCCTGCTCCGTGGTGGGTCTGCACAAGGGTCAGACCAGGAGGGGCTCTTGTTGCTGAACGGTCTAAAGCATATTTGCAAAATTGCAGTCTGGGGATCGCAAGATGGGGGGCAGTCCCCAATATCCGCACAATATCCGTGTCATCATATATCACAATGGCGGTTCCTGGCCGCATGAAAGCCTTGACTCTCTCGATATAAACTGGGAGCCGATGATGATGATAATTACAATATAATTGTCCTGCCAAAAATGTCTCCCATCACCAGTATGGGATTCTTGGGTAAGGAATGTGGTGCCATTCACCTGGCCTGGCCTATTTCCCAGCAGAGTAAAAGACCTTTCTCCACTGATCGTAAATTCTACATTGTGCATCACGTATTCTTTCAAAACTGGGCAGCCAGACAACCCAAGGAATTTACTTGTCATATATGATAGAACTGTTCATTTCCTAGTCAAATCTAGCACAAATCACTAATGACTATATGTACTTTCTGTCTGATATCTGTTTTGTGTTCTGTCATGTGAAAAAAGTTAGGGTGCTGGCCAGTTCCTTGCAAAGACATTTTCCTATCAATATTATTTCATTATTGAGTGTGCTAAGCCGATTTATGGAACAGAATAAAACAAAACAAAGGCCTCTGGCCTAAAGTATTGGATACATATGGGTCCTTCTCTCTGCACGGATCCTTGTCTACACAGAGGCTCTGTTGACTTCAGTAGGTTATTCCTCAAAATAAGTGTTGACCTCCTCACATGTGATCTAATTGTAGGATCAGACTTTAATTTTAGGTTGTCAACCTTCCTGTCCTTCAGGTCCTTCCTTAAAACTTCCTCTTTTCAACTAGCTACCCACCACTAACCATCTACAAATACTTTTATGCTTGACCAGATGTTCATATTTCATTTAATCTTATTCAAATACAAATTTTGCCAACTAATAAGTTGTGTGATAAAAATAAACCAAATCACATTATTTTGTTTCAGCCTTTCCCCCTTGTTTGTCTGTATTTCAAATTTAGGCTGAGATCCTGCAAGCTGTTCCCAGCAGACAGATCCTTTTAGTGACTTTAGTGGGGCTCCTTGTGAGCATAGTGGTCTCCCTGCAAAGAGAAATTGTTAGTATTCAGGCCTTGGACTGTAAGGCCAGGTTTACAAAACTTTTGTCACTAATGTCAGTTAGGAGTGATTTTTCTACAGCATTTTTATGCTGGCAAAAGCCCTGGTGCAGATGCAGTGTTATTGGCAAACAAGTGTGCTTTTGCTGATATAGTTCCCTGAGTAAAAAAAATTGAGTATAAGCTGTACCAGAAAAAGAACTCTTTTTGCCAGTAAAAAGAACGAGGAGTACTTGTGGCACCTTAGAGACTAATGCCATCATGTGCCAGCAATGCCCCTCTCCCATGTACATTGGCCAAACGGGACAGTCTCTACGCAAAAGAATAAATGGACACAAATCAGAGGTCAAGAATTATAACGTTCAAAAACCAGTCGGAGAACACTTCAGCCTCCCTGGACACTCAATTACAGACCTAAAAGTCACAATTATTCAACAAAAAAACTTCAAAAACAGACTCCAACGAGAAACTGCAGAACTGGAATTAATTTGCAAACTGGACAGTATTAAATTAGGCTTGAATAAAGACTGGGAGTGGATGAGTCATTACACAAACTAAAAACTAATTCCCCATGCTAATTTTCCCCCTACTCTTACTCACACCTTCTTGTCAACGGTTTGAAATGGGCCATCCTGATTATCACTAGAAAAGCTTTTTTTCTCTTGCTGATAATAGCCCACCTTAATCGATTGGTCTCGTTAGAGTTGGTATGGCAACCCCCATTTTTTCATGTTCTCTCTGTGTGTGTGTGTGTGTGTGTATATATCTCTTCCTACTGTATTTTCCACTGAATGCATCTGATGAAGTGGGCTTCAGCCCACGAAAGCTTATGCTCAAATAAATTTGTTGGTCTCTAAGGTGCCACAAGTACTCCTCGTTCTTTTTGCTGATACAGACCGGCTACCACTCTGAAACCTGTTTTGCCAGTGTAAACTACACCTACACTAGGAGTGTTTGCTGGTATAGTTATACTGACAAACCTTTCTACTGTAGACAAGGCTTAAGGCAAGGGCCTTCTCTTTTTTGTGTGTGCATAAAGCACCATGCAAACCACTGGTACAGTAGAAATGAAATAACAGAAATCAACATCCTAGTTCATATTGACACAAGGACAGGTTGGAGGGAAAGGGGCAGAAGGCGTCATGCTTGGGGGGGGAAGCACAGAAGACCCTCTGCCCACTAGAGCAGGGCTTCTCAACCAGGAGGTCTGTGGCCCCTGGAGGGGGTCACGAGCAGCTTTCAAGGGATCTGCCAAGCAGGGCTGGCATTTGACTCACTGGGGCCCAGGGCAGAAAGTCAAAGCCTGAGCCCTTCACATGTGGTTTTGGGTGCTGGGCAGTTGCCCTACTCCTACCCCCTAACGCTGGACCTGGCTTTTAAATGCAGAAAAACAGTTGCTATGGCAGGTGGGGAGTTTTTATAGCATGTTGGAGGGGCCTCAGAGAGGAAAAACGGTTGAGAACTCCTGCATTAGAGAATATTCTCCTCCAGAGCCTAGAATGAAACCCAAGATTCCTGAGTCTCACCGTTCCTCTGCATTTAGCAAATGTCTGTGTAACCTGCTGTTAAAATGTCTCCTCTCTTCTAGTACTGGTCCACATAAAGCATGACAACTTACTATTTACTTATTGCTGCTGTTTACTAAGTTAGCTCAAGTGGCAGAAGATCTAAAGGGTCCAACCCTGCTGGTGAACCATGTGGGTTTCAGTATGATATCACATGATAGAATGTCTAGGTTTTTGTTTGTTTGCTCTTTAAAAAAATCTGGGAAATTAAACTCTTACAAAAAAGTTTAAAAGATCGTTATCAAGTTTGCAAACTCAAGCACCCAAAAGTTAGGAGATTCCCTATGCAACCTTAATTTGGCCACTTTCTGCATATATATTACAATACAGTCTTTCATCTCATGATCACATTCTTTTTTTTACACAAGACCCCTGCCTCATTGAGTGCATAGGATGGACCTGCTCTGAGAATGAATAAGGGTTGTATAGCGAAGGGGCCAGTTATCTGTAGGACCCCTGATTGGTTTGTTGTTGAATTTGGAAGTTGTACAGCTATTGAGGCAGATGATTAGTGGAAGAGAAAGAATGGCTTCAATCCCTTTTGCATTTGCAACAAAGCTCATATGTGATGTTAGGCAAGCCACTTAGTTTCTGGGTGTCTGACTGAGACATGTGGTGTGACCTGTAGAAGTGTGAGCACTTGCATCTGTTACTGTAGTCAATGGGAGCTGTGTTTTGAACATATAAAGTGCTATATAATTCAAAATATTCTGAAAAATCAGGTCCTCGGTGTGTCAAATTGGGCACCCAAAATTATACTTTGACCTTAATCTCTCCCTGCCTCAATTTCCCATCTGTAAAATGGGGATAATATGCCCTTATCTCAGAGGAGTGTTGTGAAAACAAATTCATTTTTGTAAAGCCGTTGGATAGTATAGTTATGAGTGCCATGGAAAAGCCCATGAGGAAATTGATAATTCTGCCTTCAGAACATAAGGAGAAAACAAAATCTTGAATAGCTTCTCGCTAATGAACACTGTCCATCATGTGCACTGAATGAAGCAGGGGTCCTATGGAAGAAATAATATGTGCTTATTTGATTATAGACTGTATCATCATGTACAGATAAATGGACTGAATTTGGGTTGCACAGACAACATTAATTGTGGCATTTTTTAACTTCCGAGTGCTCTTCACTTTTCATACTTAATGTTTTTTAATATTGCTTACGTGATATCTATTTGTATATACAGATCTGTCTAGAGAAAGGAAGATGTATGCACACAAGCATTAGTGTGGCCATATGCTTCTAGTATATTCATGAACCAAAATTTTAAAAAATTGTTAGGGAATCACTTCCTTACTTAGGTAAACTGGGGATTTTTTAAATATTTGGAGTTATAAAATTTATCACATTTTGAAGTGCATATAAAGAGAATACACAGACGTGAAAAGGAGGAACAGATTACAAAGCTTGATTAATAAAGCCATTATAATTGATCTGTTGCTAACTTGAATATATTTGGGGTTAAAACATATGATTTAGTACTTAAATGCTGCTAAATTCACCAAAGTTTTGTTTATTTACATCTATTCGGGTTTTTAGTTTAAAACAAATCCCAAATGTAGTAGTTTTATTATGTGGTAATATTATCACTAATTAATACAGTCTTGGTTGTGTGCCACCATCAGTTTGTTCCTGGCCAAAGTGAGTCTAAGGCCTGAATGTACTACCTTTGCCGTGCCAGAGAGTAAGAGACTAGGGATATATGGCACTGTAATAATACTTTTATAATAGAGCATCGCATCCTGAAATCTCAAAGCACTTTACAAAAGAAGCGCTAAGTATCACTAGGCCCCTGGATAGGCCCTTGTTCCTTTTGTGGCTAAGTAGATTATGTAATTCTGAATTGGAAACATGGTGTTGAGTCTGCATATCGGCTTGAAGCATCATTTTCCTCTGGCTAAATGCCTTCCATCAATAAGAAACATAGAATTGTTTTCAGTAAGTAAGGAAAATTGTATGTGTGGGTTTTTGTTTCTGCAGCAAAGTAGTTCAATTTACTTCTCACTTTGCTTTGTCATCTCCAAGGCTTATATGAATCCTATAGCCATGGCCAGATCACGAGGTCCTTCCCAATCTGCAGGGCCAACAATACAGGACTACCTGAACAGACCAAGGCCTACATGGTAAGTGTGGAAATATCTGATTGCTCCTTCTGCAAAACCACTTATTTGATGAAAGATACTATCTTAAGTGCCCTCCTTCTCAACATACACTGTGATATTTTATAAAGGGATTCCTAGTGTCTGGCCAAAGCATTTTTTCTAGATATCAGTCCTAATTTTATATTTTTAAAAAATTGTTACAGTGTAAGATGATGGTATTTCAGCAACCATTTCTGAAAAGAAATATATTAAATTGATCCAGAGGCATTTTTAGCAACAATTTCTCAGGCCACGTCTTCACTACAAATTTTGGTTAACCCAAGATACATTGGCGGAAAGTCACCCGAGTTAGTATATTACGCATGTATGTCCATACTTGGCTGCTTGCATCAGCACTGCAAATACTCACCACTCCTGTGTCGATGCACAGTGTGGTGTAGCACCCGTAAATATCCCAGTGTGTCACTGTCTGGTGCATTGTTCTTTGGGAAAGTTTTGCAATGCATTTTAGGACAGAAATGAGTCACACAGGGATGACGAGGAGCAAGGAGTCAAGTTACCATCATGCAGCTTTCTCCATCACATAATGCCATCCATATCCCAAAATGTTTACATCTTTTTTTTTTAAATCCCACAAACCTGGGCACAGCACTTTTCACTGTCCACCAACTGTGACACATGCATGGAGCCTGCAGCGTTCTGCACTATTGTCATGAAAGTTGCAAACAGAGGACAAACAGTCCTCTACTATTTGCAGGCCCACAGGAAGAACTGCAATGTGATGATTTCTTTGAGGATAGATTGCTGAGGACATAGTGGCATTCACGGAGCAGCTAGGGACAGTGGAGCACTACTTCTGGGCTGGAGAAACAAGCACTGACTTGTGGGATGACGTTGAAATGTAGTGTTGGGGTGACGAGCAGTGGCTGCAGAGTTCTTGAATGCAAAAAGCAGCATTCCTGGATCTGTGTGCCAGCTCGCCCCATCCCTCCAGGGCATAGGCACCAGAATGAGAGCTGCATTGACAGTTGAGAAGTGAGTAGCGATTGCAGTATGAAAGCTTGCAACACCAGATTGTTACCAGTCAGTGGGAAATCATTTTGGAGTTTTAAAATCCATAGTGGGAGTTGTTGTTATGCAAGTGTGTAGGGCCATTAATCATCTTCTGCTATGCAGGACTCTGAATCTGGTGGAATGCAGGACATAGTGGATAGATTTGCAGAAATGGGTCCTGAACAGCAGTGGGGCCATAGATGGCACCCATTTCCTTATTTTGGCACGGGCCTGCGTTGCTACAGAGAGCATCAGTAGAAAGGGATACTTTTCTTTGATTATGCAACTGTAGATGGATCATCAAGGATGCTTTAGCGATATCAGTGTGGAAGCTGCATGATGCTCGCAACTTTAAGAACACAGGACTGCAGAAAGCTGAAAGCAGGGACATTCTTTCCCAACTGGCAGATTATCATTGGCAGTGTTGAAATGCCAGTAGTGATTCTGGGGGACCCTGCCAACCCCTGGCTTCCTTGGCTCATGAAGCCATATGCTGTCCACCTTTACAGCACCCAAGAAAGATTCAGCTACCAGCTCAGCAGGTGCAGAATGACAGTTGAATGTGCTTTTGATAGATTGCCAGCATCCAGTGGCCCCTCAATATTTATTTATGAGATTGGAAGTGGAGTGCCTGTGTACTGAGTTTGAACAGCCAGACACCAGAACCATGAGCTCAGCATGGAGCTATGCAGCTGAGGGAGCCTTTGAAAAAATAACTTTGATGTGGTAGTGTGGGGCTGTGCTCTTCATGGCCCTGAAGTTTTAGGGGCTGTTACGAATTGTTAGTGCTAAGTGTACATTTATGAATATTGAACCGTCTTTTAATTAACTTATGAATTGTGTGGTCCTTTCTGTACATTTATAATTTATTACACTGTTACTCACTGAACCTGTGAGTTCTGTCATCCTGTAGAGTTAAATGCAGTTAGTACTTTGAGTAGCGTTAGGGATTCTTCACTATGTTATGAAGTAATAAAGATAAATTTATTTCCAAAAAAATAGAAATGTATTGCATACCTAAAACAGTGCCAAAATAGTTTAATTAAAAAAATACAATAAAAACTTCTAAAATAAATTAACGGAATCCAACTTTAAAATCAGAAAGGTAGAAAACATTCCTGTCCATTTTAGTCCATTTTTGCTTCACATACACCATCTGTGACTGCCATGTCAGTGCATGTGAGGCTGTGGTTGTCCTTACTGTTGTCCCCTGGCATGGAGTGGTAGGGATGCAGCCCATGATGCCACATGGAATGTTGGAGTCCATAGCAAGTTGCTAAATTGGAGTTCTTCATTGACTACAGAGAGAGCTGAGTATGTGACTGTTGGACCTGTAGGTCAACAAGAGTCTGCAGCATTTGTGTTTGCTGCCTGAGTGCATCTCCCTCTCCTTTTCCTGTGGGGACACCTGAGCCTTTCTCCTGTCTGCTCTTTCCTTCTTCATACTTTCTGAAATATTTACCCTCCAGGCCCTCTATTTACAGTTCAGTGCAGCACTGGCTTGCAAGATCTCACTGAACATATCCTCTCTAGTCCGCTTTTTATCCTCCTTATCATGGTCAGGTATTCCGCAGGGGACCACTCAAAGCCATAGAGGTAGCAGCTACAGATAGATGTATTGTTGGATTTACAGTTACAACAGAAAGCAAAAAATAAGTTTCAGAACTCCCTTCCCTTATTCCCATAAAAGTTTTAAATAAGACTAGCTTATTGACAGTTCAGTTTTGGAGTATCACAGTATTAACAGTAGCTAGGTGTGCTCGCCAAGGTGGGTAGTTAGGAATATGTGGGAGTTTTAAAGAGAAAGGGTGTGGCTTCTGGGTTCTGTGACCCCCAGGCAGAGGAGTTCACAATTGTGATTAGAGCAGTCACTGCAGGACAGCTACTGGAGGACTAGGGTTGACGTAGGTCATGCAGTGTCTACACTCATGCTGTGTTGACCTCAGTAGGTCAACCATGGCTCAATGCCGTTTGGGGAGGTGGTGTTATTGCCTCACCATAATAGAGTACTTACATCGACCTGAGACAAATTTGAGTGTAGACAAGTGATATAAGTTGATGCAAGGTGACTTACTCATAGATATTAAGGTCAGAGGGGACCATTATGATCATCTGACTTACATCAACCTAACTTTTTACTGTAGACCAGGCCTAAGAAGAGAAAAACTTTACGCCTCTATTTTTTGTCATGGCTACCATTACCTGAATTGTGGGTGTGTCCTCACCAGTTATTTTTAAGTAATTTTAACAGAATCACACATGGAAAGAAATTTTTCTGGATACGTTTTCAGAATTGAATTCTACCTTGCAGAATTGTCGTCTTAAGAATTATACCATCTCTTAAGATGAGTTACTAAAATTATCTTGTGTTCAATCCATTTTATCTTATTATACATCAAATTCAAGCATACATTACCTATCACCAAAGTAAGGACTAGATGCTGAACAGGAATTTATTTACAGGACCTAGCCTTTAAGATATGTAAATTGTAACATAACCTAAAAATAATTCTGTCTCCTTTCATGGGAAATTCAGCTAAAGATAAACTGAAGAAACAACTTGGATTACTGTCTGTGCATTTCAGTGGAAATTTAAAAAAAAATCTTAATGTCTGTTCAGGTGTTTTAGATGTATAGATATCTGTGTAAAATCTATGTATTTTTTTTATATAAGGGAAGAAGTGAAAGAACAACTAGAAAAGAAAAAGAAAGGATCAAGGGCATTGGCTGAGTTTGAAGAAAAGATGAATGAGGTTTGTGATTTGATTATTTTGTGTTGGTGGATCATTTAGAAAAATTATTCCACTTTGTGTTCCACTGTCATTAGCAGGATGAACAGCCCACTGTGTGTGTGTAAGATTCTTCATGAGCTAACTTTGTTATTAAAATATTTAAAATAGAATTACAGCAGTTACAGAGCAAAAACCATCTTTTCCTTTCCCCTGCTAATGCAGAGTTGTTCGCTACAGTATATATCTGGTCAGGTCTAGTTTTGAAAAAGTGCCACCTGAATAGTATTTGAGCTCTTGTAATACACTAGAGGGCCACACACCTCGTAGCTTCTGTAGGCCGAGCTTTTTGCGTATCCCTGGGGCTTCTTGCATCCCACTCCATGTGTTCCCTGCGTACCACCCTCCTATCCCCCTCATATTTCAGGGACTCCCTGTAACTGCCACCTAATCTCCCCCTGCTGGAGTTGTGTGTGGTCCCCCATTCCTCCACTTCTCATATCAGATCCCCCATTCTGCTCCCCCTTGCCAACAGTTCTGTTTACCCCTCATTCAGCCACATGAGGTTCCCCAGTCTCCCCTATCCACTCTGGATTCTGTGTGCTCACTTTTCCACCTTCCCACCCTACCAAGGTACCATTCTTTCCCACATGTCAGAAGCTCTGCTTAACCCCTGCTTAATACCGGGTTCCCCACTCTTCCCCTTCCCCGCCCCCTGAGTTCTGTGACCCCAATTCCACCTTCCCACCATACCAGGGTCTCCCATCCTCCCACTCACACCAGGGGTTGTGTGGACATCTGCATTCAAACCTACCCATTATTATTTGTTTCAGAGATGCATCATTCAGGGCTTTGACACATTAAAGTCTGTTGGGAGGATGAGCAGGGGGATATTGTTCTGTTGGAAGGTGATGGGTGCTATCAACCAGTTGCCTGAATGATAGACAGTCCAGAGGTGTGTGAAGCTGTGGGTGTGCTAACCAGATGGCAAGGGCTCCAGGTGTCCCCCATTTTCCCCTTTCTGTTTTCTGATTTTCTCCCTAATTTATAGGGTTCTGGCCCTTGATACCTAGAACATTCAATAAGGGTGGCACACAGGAAGCTTTGTGGTGTAGGGGAGGTGGAGAAAGAATGAAGGGAGACCCCGGTGGGTGCAGTGCACTCGATTTACAGAAGCAATAGTGTGTGAACCTCTATATTCAATGTGAAATCTTTTCATCAGAGGCTGTCCAGATCCTTACCCACCATCTTTTGAATAAAGAGACACTCATATTTGGTGGTACTTGATTTTTAAAAAGTGGATTAATCACATTGCTACAGTGAAATATGTATGTATAGTTGTAAGTTTAATATCCTAATACAGATAGTCAATTAAGGTGTTTGTGTATATATTTTTGTTTAAATAACGGACAGATCAAGGAGCACATTAGCAAGTTTTGTCAAATGAATATTAATCTGTTTATATAAAATGAAATATGTAATCCTGTAGGTTTAGGATTAGTTGAATTATCTTTTTAAAACCTGTACAAATAATACTTGGTGGCTCTGTCACAGATGAAATATTTCAAAGGTTCCTTTTAACTCCGTTTTGAAAATTATGCCAATGGTCACTATCACTGTTTTTCAGAATTGGAAGAAAGAACTAGAAAAACACAGGAAGAAATTATTAGGTGGAAATGAGAGTTCCTCCAAAAAGAATGAGGTAAATATCTTAAGTCTGGTAAAGTATTCATGAGTTGGATTTTCCTGATGTGACATTTTTGCACTGAAACAGCCATCACCAAAGAATACAGGTCAAAATGCAAATTCAGAACTACTTTCCTTGTCTGTGACATATGTCAAGAGATCATGATACCATGTAACAAAATTATCTCTTTCTTTTTAGAAAAAGAAAAAGGAAAAGAAGAAATCAAATAGGGTGAGCAAAGTTTTCAGGTTTTTAAGTTTTACGTGGCTTGAGTTCCTGAAAAGACAAAATAAGAGTGTAATTTGGTATTTTACGTAGATGTTTAAATAACTATGCTTGTGTTGCCTGTTATCTGAGAGTGGTAGTTTAGTTTGTATTTGAGTGGAAAAGGTTTAAAAATAAGAAGGTCTTACTTTAAAAATAGATCATTTGGCTAGAATGCCACACCTTTGTTTGCTTGAGGAAATATCACTCATACAGCTTAATTTAAGAAAATCTCTGAAGGCTAGACTCTTGGAACTAAGATCACTATAGATAACATTTGCAAATGCAGAGACATTTGGGAGAGTATTTGGATGTTCCTTTAACTATTTCTCAAACAGACAAAATGCTGCATCTCACAAGCTTTAATTTTTGTTGTGTTTGGTCAAGTTGTCTTCATCTTCCTCTTCTTCATCAAGCTCTGATTCTTCCAGGAGTTCATCTGATTCTGATGATGAGGTGAGAACTAACGTACCAGAATTGTAATTTTTCTGTTTTCTTTGAAAATATGCTAGTGTATAATTCTAGAATATGCTTGTGCCACTTACTCTCTTATTCAGGTTTTATTAGGATGGTGCATTCAAGAAGAAATGTATGCTTCTTGTTTTAACGTGGAAATAGTGATTGTAGATTAGTCAGCATTTTAACAGAGGCTTCAATTTAGCAACTACTTATGCATCTGTTTACACAATATGAACGGTCCCATTTACTTCAGTGGAGCTGCTCAGTGCATACTTTTAAGCACATGAGTAAGTCGTTGCAGGACTGGGGCCATAATTTTCTTTTGATTAATAGTAACCATTTATGGCCCTACATCTCAGGAACAGTAGCCTGAACAGTTAGATAATTTGTCTGTTAGTACCCTGTTAATTGTACATGAAGGGGTATTGGTTTATCTGTGAGATCTGAAACTATAACTGTAGTTTTTTTAAAGGCAAATGAGTTAAAGACCTGATATTTCCTATAACCAAATTAATACACGATAATATAGTGAATATGCAATACTCAAACAAACTTGTTAAAAGAATTAACTTCTGGCCTCACAATTGTGCTCTCCGCTCTTGTGTAAGAGACTAACATTTGGTCCTACAGTTCGTTGCGGGCCCTCAACTTTCATTGAATTCAAAGGGAGTTGAGAGCTCTGAGCCTATGATTGGGTCCCTTAGCATTGATGCTTCACTCAGAAGGCTAGCAGAGACTTAGGAGTGCTACAGAGATAGCAAACCTGCTGGAAGGAGTGGTAGTAGCAATCCCTTTTATTTATTGTGAAACAGTGGGTTATAAAGCAAGCCCCAAGGTGGCTTTCAAGTGATGCTTTGAAAAAAGGAAGCATATAATTGGGAACAAGAAAGGCAAGTCTGCAGAACTCTCACAGGGAGATAGAAGACTTGCCTCTTTCTTTACAGCGAGAAAAGAAACTTCTAGTGCGCAAAGAAGTATAGAAATGAACATGACCTTAATATATCTGTTCAATTAATAGATTTTTCTGTGCACCAAAATATATTTTATAGCAACATATTAAAAGAACACGAATGAAACACTTATTTTAAAAAAGTAATTTTGGTTCATGATAACTTTTTAACACTGGTTTTTGCAGTATATATATTTTACATGTAGATTTTAGGCTGCATCTACCTAAATGCTTTACTCTTACCTTTTTATGCGTTGACTAAGGAAGGTTATCCTCTTGACTACAAATAAGAACTTCTGTATGAACATTATTTATTTTGGGTGGCAGGTTTATAAACTGGATTCACTTTGATTTTTACAGAGAATTGTCTGTTGTTTGGCATTTCTTTAAAGAAAGATAATTTCCCCTCTAAATTAAAAATAAAACCCAGGCACACAATTATTATTTTGAAAAAAATCTGTTCATGGCATTTTAGGCTAGATCACTTTGAAGATGAAGAGTCAGGCCCTATGATATACTTTGGAAAAAAGTAATAAACAAGGAAACTAGAAAAATTTGGATTTATCACTAATATAAATTTTGAATAAATGCAGAAATATTATGAGTATCATCCACTCTAAGAGCCAGTCATCTCTGTAGTGCTGTATTCATCAAGAGAGCATACTTACATATAGGACTTTGGGTTTCTGTGTTCTTCAGATTGAATATTCAGTTATAGCTTCACTATGAACACATACAAACTTTTTCTCTAAAACATTTATGGATAGGATAAGAAACAAGGGAAAAAACGGAGAAAAAAGAAGTATCGCTCCTTGCGGAAATCTTCTGAAAGCTCTACTTCTGATTCTGAATCAGACAGCAAGGTAAAATGTAATGATGTTTTAGCGTTGGGAAGTTTTCCTTTATATTGTAAACATTATCTGATTTTGGTTTTGCATATCCACTTTTTTATTTCTCTTTCAAACACACAATGCTACTTTATGGGAGCAAGCAGTGCTTCCAGCCTTCTGCTTCCATACTCCAAGAAGTATTATCCTTATTTGAGCTCAGTACGCTGGCTGAAAGGAATAGTTTGATCTTTAGAGAGCAGACTTGTCAATGATTCTAAACTGTTATCACTAACTTTCGAATTATAAATGTGCCTTATTTCCTGTCCAAACAAGCTCTGTTTTAGTGTACAATAAGCTAACATTTAAAACCTATAAATGTCTTAATTCTTTGTCGGTGTGTTGTTTTCACATGTAGGGGTTTTTTTAAATGAAGGTCTGACAGGATACCAGTGCTTAAAATACACCTCTACCCCAATATAACGCGATCCAATATAATGCGAATTCAGATATAACACGGTAAAGCATTTCCCCTCCTCCCCCCTCCCTCCCAGGCTTGCGCAAGTCTGGGAGGGAAGAGGGAGAAGTGGAGCAGCAGCACGCTCAGAGGAGGAGGTGGAGTGGAGGTGAGCTGCGGGGGCAGGGCGTGCGGGGAGGTGCGCAGCAAGTAACGGGGGTGGGGGCGCAGAGGAACTGCTCCCCGTCCCAGCTCATCTCCGTTCTGCCTCCACCTCCTCCCCCCTGGAGCGCGCCGCTGCTCCGCTTCTCCCCCCTTCCCTCCCTCCCTCCCAGGCTTGCCGCACCAAACAGCTGATTCGCAGCAAGCCAGGGAGGGGGGAGAAGCGGAGTGGCGGCAGCACACTCAGAGGAGGAGGCAGAGGCGGAGTGGAGGTGGGCGGGGGGGCAGGGCAGGGAGCTGCCAGTGGGTGTTCTACACCCACCAGTTTTTCTCCATGGGTGCTCCAGCCCTGGAGTACCCACAGAGTCGGCGCCTATGGTGGCAGCATGTCTGGCTCCAACATGCTGCTCTGAGCGGCGTGTTAAGGGGGCCAGGCCAGGGCTGGGGAGTTGGATAAGGGGCAGAGAGTCTTGGGGGGCAGTCAGGGGACAGGGAGAAGGGGGGGTTGGATGGGCCAGGAGTTCTGAGGGGTCAGTCAGGGGGCGGGAAGTAGGTAGGGTCAGATAGGGGGCGGGGCCAGGCTGTTTAGGATGGCACAGCCTTCCCTACCCTGCCCTCCATAGCAAGTTCGATCTAACGCGGTTTCACGTATGACGCAGTAAGATTTTTTGGCTCCTGAGGACTGCGTTATATCGGGGTAGAGGTGTACTGCCTTACCAGATGTCTGTGGGAAAAGTACTTTCCCTTCAGAAATTGTACACTCTGCAGCACAAATCGAGCCTTTCATAAATGCAGTTATGGGGAGGTTTCCCTTTCCTTTGCTCTATTTGGAGTCATGCATACCCAATTAATTAAACTTTCTGGTATGAATTTTGGACTTCATCCTGTGTAAACTAGAAAATAAACAAATTGTAAGGAGTCTGTCAACAGTTCTTTACACTATATCAGGTAGAAATTATATTTTTGTCATAAACACTGGTAATCTAAGAAGCCACTTATGAAAGCTCTTTGGGGCTCAGTCCTGTCTTCATTTATCTGTAAAGTACCTAGCTTAGTGTATGTGCTATACAAATAATAATAACTAGCTCTTTATATAGTGTTTTTCATCCATAGATATCAAATGATTAAATCATTCCTCACATACATACACACACCAGTTTTTGTTAATGTAAGTTTGAAAATTCATCCCTCACACACATGATGGGGGGGGGACACGACATTTAGACACCTCCTGCTGCTGAATTGGAGGACAGAAGTCTCTGTTCTTTCTCTCTCCTGTCAGCTGAGGTGAGGTGAGGTGGGTGGAGAGACTCACAACCTTACTGTTTCTTCCTTCCTAGTTATTCTCCATCTCTGATACTTTCTTCACTCTGTTGGCCCTGCTTTCATTCTGCCTTTTCTACTGGCTCATGCACAATATGCCTCTTTGCTACGCTTTCAGTAGAAATTACTTGTCTTGTATTATCACCAGACAGGAAGGAACAGCAGAGAGGTACTCCATACACGGGGATCTAATGGGAAAGCAGAACATGAACTGTTCTATTGGAAGTATGCTTCATCTTAGGCTTCATTCTGTCCCCTAGGATCTCCCAAAGGGTTCTTTTCTCACCCAATGCTTGTGGACTCTGCCATGGTAGCGTGTTGTGTTTTCTTTTAAGATTCTTAGGAATAGAGTGATGGTGGCTGACCTCCTATATAGGTTGTATGTATGTTCTGCTGAGCAGCATTCTATTCCTTGATTCCCCACAGGCCTACCAGAGTAAGAACAGTGTCTTTTTATACTGCAGGGCAAGGACTGAAGCAGTTGTACCAAAATGGTAGTTTTTTCATAATGCTCATGTGAATTGCCAGGTAAAATATCTCAGACCAATTCGTTAGACTGTAACCCAGAACAACCATAACAGCTTTGAAAAGTAGGCCCTTTTATCCAGTGTAATATATCTGGTCAAGATTCTGTTGTGATTCATACCATTGTGTGCTGAAACCATTATGTAAAATTAATTATTTTCACCTTCTATTTAGGACAGCACAAAAAAGAAAAAATCAAAGGAAGAACATGAAAGAGAAAAGGTAAAATATTAAGTACTTGAAAAATAAAAATCTGTCTCAAAGGGCATTTTATACAAATATAGACAAAGAACCACATTTTTAAATGGAGTGACAGATCTTGGGTAAGGCAGTTGTGAACCTATGCTTGCACATCTGAGGACAAATTTGCAAAGGTCCTCAGCTTCTATTTAAATAATTATTGCCACTGGGAACTGCTGGGTGCTGAGCTCTTAAGAAAATCTGGTCCCAATAGCTGCCGAGTGCAAAAATTGCTAGTTATGTGGCAAATTTGCAAACTTGTTCAAGCAGATAGGGTGAATTTAAGGACAAATGTCTAAGTGGCTTTCAGGTGGTCTTCTGTTTGGGTTTGTTTGTTTGTTTGTTTTAATTTACACTGAGGACTGAGAGTCATCTTATTAGCTGCTGCCTCCAGCAAGAAGTCTTTCTTATAGAAGCTGGGCATCAGCTCTCTAACATTGCCAGCCATTCAGCACTCTCCTCTGGACTTATACCATTCCTTCTTTCATCAGCAGGTTAACAGTAGGTGCACTTCAAGCCCCGAATCCCTTTGAATCATTCCCCTGTGATATCCAGCCCTAAAACTAGGTACTCTCAGAATTTCTGGATCCTCTGCACCCAAAGATGAGTGTTAGCGTAAACTACTGCTCCTGTAAACCACAGAGCATTTGTGAGAACTTAAAATAAAACAAAAGAAGGTTTATTTAAGAAAGAATAAAGATTTAATGAGAAATGAGAGAGAGTGATGGAAACAAGTACTTACAATACAAAACAAAATCATAAAACGCAAACCTAGGTCTACACTTATCAGTAGTTACCCTTCCTACCTAATAAAGTAGATTTCCCCCCAAAGTTGAGTCCTTTGCAGAACTGGCTGGTTTCTCAATAATAACCTCTTGAAGTCCCTTCTAATCCAACATGTCTATGATTCCACAATTTAAATGAAACGTTAAAGTCAGTGTTTTTGTCACCTTCTAAGTGTTGTATTATTTTAAAGGATGCACTTTCCCAGCAAACAAAATATTTGTGTTTTATTTTGTGTAGGACAACAAAAGTCTTAGTAGGAAAAGGAAGAAAATTGATCGTGGGAATGTACCTTTATCATCTGAATCGCTATCAGAGTCAGATCCTACAGAGGAGGTCAGTGTGAAAATACAACCTAAATTTCAAATTTTAAAAAAGTATATTTGGTAAGTTAAATGTGTATAAGTGAGTAAACTAATTTGACTGTACTTAACTCATCAATAGACTAAGTGGCAAATTATGTATTATCCTGAAGCTGTTCTAGCTCAGTTTAACTGGATTTCAGCAATGTGACCTATCTCAAAGTTGTATAAGCACAAGCCTATTTAAAAAGGACTCTTGCAATTCATTAAAGTTAGAACGCTTACCACTTACTGATTATTTTGAACTATTTTGTTATAGTTAAAATTCTGAATACCATAATATTCACTAACATCACATTACATGCTTGACATTGACAGTTTATGTGACTGTCATTTCATTAGTGTGTGTACAAAGGCAGGGGATTTCCATCTCACTTGTATTAATGTTCGTTACCACTGGACATTGATTACATTTGCAATGATTGGTTTTTTTTAAATCAAGTTAATTTGAGTTTAGTCCCTGTTCTAATATTGAGATCCTTTCATCATCGTGGATTGATTTAAATCAAGTACTTGTAATCACCAATTTTAATCATGATTTAAATCAGTAAGCAGGAAACCTTGATTTAAATAGTTTTAGCTCTGTTTTGCTTTTGTACTTTTTATTAAAGGTTGATTTTCGTTGGTTGATAACCATTACAGCATGTTTATTTACACCTAATTTAGCCTGTACACTAAGTTTTGTACCTCTTAGTAGGATACACTGTATCGATACACATTTATTCAAACAGTTATCTAGCTTACCGTACATTTATTGAGATCTTAATTTTTACTTTTTTTTATTATGTTAGCAAAAATCATGAATGAGGCATTTACTAGATGGTTGATATTGATTCTTTTTATCAAAACATGTTTCGTATTTAAAACTGATGTATTAAACAAAGGAAATACCTGTAGTTAGTGAATTTAATTGATTTGTTTCTGGACACAGTTTCCTTTAGGATTGTAAAACGAGTAGATCTCATCCTCTCACTCCTAGCTTTTATTCGTAGCTTGGAAGAGGAAAGCAAGTTTTTGTGCTTTTTCAACTCCTAGTTGGTTTCTTAACTTTGAATCAACTGTTCTTTGAATTGAACATGGAATAAACTGAAAGGAAGAAAATATTCTCTTTGCACTTGCAGAGGAGGCTACTGCTGTCAAAAGCTGGTTTAGCATTTCAGCAGACTCTTTGGTTCCAGGTACTTAAACAGTGACTTCCTCCAGTTCAGTAGTATGACTTTCTTTAAAACTTCAGCAGCAAACGTGTACTGCTTAATATTATTATTTTAAATTTAAATAATTTTGATATATTATAGTAAGTTAAGTCCAAAATAGGTTGTCATAATTTCAGAGGTAAATTTCAAATTCAAGTTTAAATAGCTTTATTTTTAAAAATTAAACCTGTATTTAATTTACATTTTAAAAATTGATTTTATTTAAATTATCCATTTTTATCCCCTCTGTTTTCCATATAGAATTCCAGACGATGTGAAGGCTAGGGAAAATTGGAGTTGTTATGGTTTTTTTTCACATAGGTAGTTTTAATAATTTTACTGGTATCTACATGGTAATTCCCTGCTATGCTATATGTTGTATAAGTAGACAGACATTGTTTCCTTGAAAGCACTCAGCATTTTTTATTTCTAAAACCGGATGATACTGGCTAGAATGATTTGCAGAAAATAGCACAGATATCCCAGTGTATTTCTTCATATTGTCACAACATTATATGCTGTACCATATTGTGCCGTCATGTTTTATAGCCAAAGCTAAAACTTTTTACTTACAGGTATTTTTGGAAATACTGTTTGGCCACAAAAGCTTATTAATTATTTTTTTTTTAGGTACAAGTGAAAAAGAAAAAAAACAGTGAAGAAAGAGAGAAAGTAACAGCAAGTATCATTCCTATTCTCATATTTTTAGAAAGTGTCTTAACTATGTAAGAAATTAGCATGTACTTTTGTTGTCTCGGACAACACCCTTTACAAAGTTGAGCATTTTATGGAAAATTCTACTCTCAGGTTCACAGTTGTAAATCGAGAATAACTCAATTTACTTCTGGAAGCTCCTTGGCCTTTACATCAGTGTACCTGAGAACAGAATTTGGCCCTGTATTCGTAGATTCAAGACCAGAAGGCACCATTGTGATTATCTAGTCTGACCTCCTGTATAACACAGGCCCCAGAACTTCCCCAAAATAATTCCTGGAGCTATCTGTATGTTATCTAAATACAGATATGTATGAGTAGAAAAGTTATTTTCTAGATGGAGTAAATGTCAAATATGTTTACTTACGTTCACATTAATAAAATGGAACATTACCAGTGTATATCGTATCGGGTTTATAATATACATCCTGCTCCACAATATGTAGGAAGATATTCTGTTCTATGCCTCATAAGGTCTGTCTACGTTGCATCTGGGAGTGTGCTTCTTAGACTGGATAGACAGACTTACTCTAGCTATGCTCAAACTTACCCACTAAAAATACCAGTGTGGATGTTGCAGTGTAGTCTGCAACACAGGCTAGCCACCTGAGTATGGCTAGCCCATGCACTGGACTAGACATACCCTATAAGGTGCAGCACTGAACTCTCAGCCCAGAAAGAGGGTGGGGAAAGAAGTTAAGGCAGCTTTAAAACACCTTTGTTCCCTCTTGATTTTGGGTGGCTGCAGGAGCCCCTGGCATAACCTGAACAGCCTTGGAGGCCTATGTAGGTTATAGTAACTGCCCTGTGGGCCCCAGCAATGCTTATTCTCCCTGACACTGGATACTGAGTCCCTCCCCTGGCACACACTCTATGCCAGAGTTTGGGAAAGAGTCCTCAAAAGGCTGTCCCAGTAGTGCGTATGCTGGGCAAGGATCCTCCAACTGAATAAGGGGCTTTTACCATCACTTTACGCCTCTCTGGCCTTTTTACCCAGTACAGTGGGTCAGGAGCTGGGATGAGGATCTTGTGTTTAATTTCTTTACAAGGACCTTCTGCATTAATCTCTCTTAAACTGTTTCGTTCAGTAAGGAATCTACATAGGGATTTGAAGTTATACATTTTCCAGAGTTGGGCAGGTTGTCAGCCACGTGACTCCCAGTGGCTGATGTGCTGAGCTTTTTCTTTTAAATAAATGTACATTACATACATTGTATACTGCACTGAAGCTGTATATCTTGTGTATAGTAGAATAGATATATATAGTATTGAGTGACAACTCTTGTGTATCATTGTTATAGCATACAACATAAACCTGGTCCTGCATGCCTTACTCAGGAAGAACCACTGAAATTTTGCCTGACTAAGGACAAGAGGGTTGTTCTTCTAGTATATGTGTTTCTGAGTTTAGAGTATTAATGTTAGGTCCTGATCCTGCAGCCATTCTTTGACTGTATAAGGGTTTTCACAATTGAGCTCCTACATTATCCCAAATTAAATGAGGCATGAGTGCTGGAGACTGGAGCCTAAGACAGCTTATTTTACTTTGTCAGGAATGGGGAAATCTAACTAAAATGTGATTAAATAGGGCTTCCTACCCTGCTCTTTCACAAGTATGCAAAATGCCGTTTGCATCACAAACACCCATTATCTTATTGATTTCTCAAAAATGTATAAAGTGTTCATGTGACTTAAAAGATTAGGAAACAAAATTAGAGACAATGACTATTTCAGACCTCTTACCAGACCAAAATAGAACTAACTTTAAAAAAATCATTCAAAGTATTCTATTTTTTTGTTTTGTTTTATACTGTTTATTTATGTAGTAATCTTTTATCTGAAATAATTTTGGACAAATATCCTTTCAAGGTTCTTACACCACTTAGTTAGCTGAATTTTAATAAATGGGTTTTGGCTTATGAAATAACTAACATTATTTAACTGTTTTAAAGGATAAAACAAAAAAGAGAAAGAAGCACAAGAAACACGGTAAAAAGAAGAAAAAGAAGACAGCTGGTTCAAGTTCAGATTCAGAATGACACTTAAAAATCAAGCGTGTCCCTTCAACAAAAGTGCAATGACTAAAGGAAACTTCAACTGTGAAAATTATCGCAAACTTTACCACACTGCATGAGTTTTCCAGTGTTTTAGAAATATTACTAGACTTTCAATAGCCAGCCAGGTGCTGCTATGCCCAAAAGTCCATTGTTGTTGCCTGCTGCTTAATACCTGGGGTACAAAATGCTTTTAATTACAGTAGCCAGTGTTAGTTTAAAATCATAAGAGAGGGTGGTCCAGCTAATATGTAAAATATTAGGAAATAGAATGCAACCTTTTAGATACTAAAAATAGTGTTTTAACAAGTTAGTAATATAGTCTAATTTTTAAATCTGCAGAAATAAAAAATTCATCTTGAGGAATATAACATAAGACTATTGATACTTGGTGACTACTAATGCCATTTGTGAAATGGAAATAGAATAGTAACAATTTTAAAGGTTACTTTTGTAGAAGTATTTATGATAATTTTGCCCTTTATTTTCTTTTGGGAGTGTTACCATTTTGGCTAGCTGAATTAGGGTGCCTTTGATCCTTGCAAAATCTATCTATTTTTAACAGTACAACAGCTATATTTCCTAGGGAGATCAGAACTGGTATCAGCAGGTTTTTCCTGAATAAACAATTCTGGGCCCCTAGCATGTACTTCTGCATTAAGTAAGAGCAGTGACACACTGCAGCATAACTTGACATCCAAAAATTAAAGACTTTACCTCCACTTAATTGAAATGATGCTGAATACTGTGCTATTAATATGCATTATATCATTTAAAGTAATTTTGAGTTTAACTGAACATTTCTGGCAAACACTGGTAGCTTTTTTTCCTTTTGCATTGCCATTGAGATATTTAGAATTATTTTGTATGTTTTGTACCATTTTTAAATAACGTACAGGTATTCAGTTGTAACTAGTGATTTTTTTTATGAATTATGTTCCAGGTGTGGAGCTTCATGTATGTATTTACTTTATTCTTACAGTAAATTCATTTGCTGTGATAAAATGCACACTTGCTGAAAATATTTAGCATGTAAAAAGCAGGGTTTTGATAACTAACAGCTTCATATTGAAGCTGATTTTACTCTAAGCAAGTTCAGTGGCAGACCTGTTATGCGGATGTGTCTTGTTATATAAAACTACTGCCAGAATCTCAGTAAAGATACTCTTTAAAAAGTTTGTCTTTGTATTTTTGGACCATGGAATATTGACACAAACAGATTGAGCTATTTTACTTGCACCTGCAACTACTTCAGTAACAAAAACAGAAAAGAAACATAATAAATTAACAAAACATACACACAAACTAAAGCAACCCTGGACTTCAGCTTTATACAAGTGCGCCCTCTCTCATCCTCTCACTCTTGTCTCCATGGCCTGGTCTGCTGTTGCCTTTAAGGTATTCCAAAATGTTCTGCTGTAGAACAAACCAACCCCTCTCAACCCCTTGCATGCATGCTAGTTACTAACTACCTTAAGTACAGTACTAAAGTGCAAAACATAGTTTTCTGCTACTCAAGAATTGTAGCACGTTTCCTAAACAATCATAAATTTGCAAATCATAAAGAAAGAAACGGGAATTAGGAAGATATTAATATTTTTGCTAGTCTTCAGTCAAATTGACTTCTACTTCAAGCAAGTTCTTGGAAACATCCCAATTTTATTTTATGAAACTGACTTCCTATCACAACTAGATTAAAATTTATTGAAAGGGTTCTTGATCAATCATCGTGCTGCAGCTAGGTGAAATTGCTGGTTTTTAAGACAATTGCATCATTACTGAGACTAAATGTAAGACTTCAGGACAGAATGAAGTAATTTATATCAGGCTTGATGCTTTGAAAAACTAATTTGAAAATTTGTCCTATTGTAATTTTAGATTAAAATTTATAATGAACTAAATTATAAATGCTACTACTGGTAGGGAATCTTACTTGAATCTTATGAAACTGCTGTAGGCAAAACACAAAAAATTGAAAATGAATGCCCTGAGCCTGCAAACTCATGAGCAGGTATGTGACTTTACTCACATAGATAGTCTCATTTACTTCAGTTAGACTACACGTGTTAAATTAATCATGTACATTAGCATCAGGAGCTACTATGGTATATTTATTAAATGTTTAGTGGCATGAAATCTTTCACTTCAAAATCAAATTGCTTCAGTATTAACAATGAAACAAGTTACTCAGATTTTCAATACTTTTAAAAAGTTATAGTGAACTTTTTATATATATCAGTCACATTTTCCAAAAATAGGAGCATAAAATTAGGTTTCTACGCGTGAGATTTTCAAAAGTACTTAAGTGACTTAGGAGCACAAATCATATTGACAGCAAACCCTGATGCAAGTGTATAGTCTGGTCACAGCATTGTAGCTTTCTTGACTTGTGTAAATTCAGGATACCAGTATGTGGGTGTTGGTGTTAAGGCCCTGGATTATTAGTCTTTTTCAGCATACGTGAGCATTTTAAGTGTGAAACTTCTTCATAGAAAAGTCTGAAACTTCTACTAACATTTAAGAAACTAAAGAAAAATATACAAAACATCCACTTATCAGTTTGTTTATACAATGGGAAGAAAGTACAGAACTAGCAATGTGTGCATTTAAAATGTTTTAAATTTTAAAAATTATTTTTGTACACCCTTTTTCAAGAGACGGTCAAGTACTATCTATAAAGTAGCTAGTAAATGTTTAGCCTCCATACACTTAAGTTTGAAACCAAATTATTTCCCTTGACTGTTCTCCTTTTACATGTGGTAAACATTGATTTTGTATTTTTTTTTTTTAATTTGGAACACAAGCCATCATGTTTTTTTGCCTTCTCATCCACTGCAAAGTTTTTATTATGGCTCAGTCCTAAGAGGGGTTGAGTGCTCTCAACTCCCATTTAATTAGTGGGTGCTGAGGGCACTCAAACCATTGAAGCATAAAGCCTTTTAGGCAGAGCTCTGGCAGCAGTATTTCTAACCATTGTATGTTGTCTCTGATGGTTGGCATTAGAGCAGCTAAGGAATGCTGTTTTATACCATATGTACATTTAAGGGAGGACATTCCTTATGATGTTGTAATTACAAAGTAGATCATGCTTCTAAAGTAAGCTAGTTGACTGGATTTGTAACATCCTCAAATGTGCCAGGCCAAATGTCCTGAATGTGGAGTTAAATGTAGGCACCAAAATAAAAATGGCCTGACTTTCACAGGTGCTGAATACCTGCATCAACTTCAGTGGGAGTTATGAGTATACAGCACTTTAAAAAGATAGTCACACCTAACTTTAGAACCAGCACTTTCACATTTGGATGTTTAACTTTGAATCAGGAGAAGTATGTATCCTTTTATGATTCTACACAACTTGAAAGGTTGACACTGCCTGAGTATTTAACTTCATAAGGATGTTGTACCAAACTGTCTCATATGAGAGGGTAAGAACATTGTTTTAAAGGCCTGGCAAAGTTTGGCAAACCAGAGCCTCTTCATACAATATAATATTTGCAGTTGCGGAGTGACCAAAGGGTGGGCTTTGGCACCTGAACTGGACCCTCTGAATACAGCTGAGCTGTCTTTTAGGTTGGGACTGGACTGTGCTAGGTCTTTTCTGAACAACAAGGTGATCTGTGCAAGCACCACTTCCTGCCTCAGATTTATTGGTTATAAATAAAAGCTGCAGTAGAACTTTGCTCACTGCAAAGTGTTGCAGGGATAAGCGGTCCAAGCTTCCTTGACTTACTTGGAGGCACTGAAATGTGCAAGCACAGAGCCAGGGCCATCCTTTGCGTATGGCGAATCGGGGCAACTGCTCTGGGCCCTGTGCTTCGGTGGGCGCGTCGTGGAGACCTGGGGGGCCAGGCTGGCCCAGGGGGTGGAATTAACAGTTCAGGGAACGTGGCCAGCCCCTGGGGGTTGGTGGGAAGCGAGCGTTCTATTTCTTTTCCTTGCTTGCCAGTCTGGCAACACAAATCTCAACCCTCCCCTTTTGCAACTAGGTGCAGTTTCCCCCACGCAAAGTGACCATCTTGGCTACTTCTCAGGACTTGCTACTGCCTGGCCAGGGTTGCAAATCAGGAGGGATGGGGTTTTGGTCAAAAACACTCAAGATTTGCTTCCTCCTTGCTAATGTGCCAAATTGATTTTACCGCCTGGTCCAGGGGTTGCGAATCAGGAGGGATGGGGTTTTTGTTCGAAAACAGGCACAATTCCCTCCCTCCTAGCTAATGTGCGCAGTTGACTGCCAGCAGCCTAGCGCGGCTGGAACACACCAGTGCCAGGCTGACCCCATCCATTGCCCTTCTGCCCCGGACCCCTCCCTTTTCTGGGACACCCTAGCACAGGAGCCAGCCTGGGACTCTCCATCGTCCCCTGCCCCCCCCCCCCCCCCCCCCCCAGACTGGTGTCCCTTCCCCACACCAGATTTCACCTGTATAAAAAATGTTAAGGGGGAAGCCATACAGGCTGATTTGTCCCGGGCCCCGCACCCCCCCTAGGGACGGCCCTGCCGAGAGCAGACCTCTGCTATCTGCTGCCCAGTCAGTACCCATTATGGAGTGGGAAAAGCGAAAACTGGAAGGAAAGGCAAAGCGCAAAAAATGCAGGCCAAGGGCTCTGACCCACAGAGCTTCGCCGCTCACGGTCCAAAAGCGGAGGGAGTTTTAGTCCCAATCAGCAGCCGTCTGCTGCTCTGCGGCTGGCACCTGCGGTGGGCTCTCAAGCCTCCAGTGCCAGACAGCCTGGACTACGGACGCTCCGCGTTGGAGTGGGGAGGGCGGCCCGCGGGCGCGGCAGCAGCCGCGGGGCGGAGCCGGATCCTCGCCGGGCCGCCTGGCAGAGTGGCGGGAGAGCGAGAGGACGGCGGAGGGTGAGCGGCGGCTCAGGGGGAGGGGCCAGAGCTGAACGTGGGCATGGGGCGCCTCCAGCAGCGGGCGCCGCTGAGCCTGTGGCGGAGGTGGGGGGGCCCAGAGGCCGAGTCGGGGGGAGGCGCACTAGAGGAGTGTGGGCCCGCTGCGCATGGGGCTGCGGAGCGAGGCTGGCTCCTGACAGCACCGCCGGGGGAACGGGGTTCGGCGGAGAAATGGACCCGCTCCGTCCCCGTACTTGGGCGAGGAAGCCGTTGCTAACGTTACTGAGCAACGACGCCTTATGAGTCCCCGCCCCTCCGCGGGACGCCCCGGCTCTCGCTTTGTGATTGGCTGGTCCCCGGTCTTCTGTTTCCATGGTGACAGCGCGCGGCTCCAAGGAGGAGAGCCGCTGCCGGGCGCCGGCCCGAGAGCGCCATGAACAGGAAGAAGCTGCAGAAGCTCACAGAGTCGCTGTGCCGGACCGCGAAGCACTGTGAGTGCGGCCCACGCCCCGGGCTCCCCCAGCAGTTCCCAGCCCCGCCCCAGCAAGATCCACGTCCCCCCAACAACCGCTTCACCACCCCAGCACCTCCTCTGCACCCCCCTCCCCATAGCTCCAGCCCCCTAATCCCCAGCCCGGCCCCAGGCGTCCCCCTGCAGCCCCCATGGCTCCAGCCCCCTAATCCCCAGCCCGGCCCCAGGCATTCCCCTGCAGCCCCCATGGCTCCAGCCCCCTAATCCCCAGCCCGGCCCCAGGCATTCCCCTGCAGCCCCCATGCTCCAATCCCCTAATCCCCAGCCCGCCCCAGACATTCCCCTGCAGCCCCCGTGGCTCCAGCCCCCTAATGCCCATCCCATCCCCAGGCGTCCCCTGCAGCCCCCATGGTTCCAGCCCCTAATCCCCAGCCCGGCCCCAGGCGTCCCCCTGCAGCCCCCATGGCTCCAGCCCCCTAATCCCCAGCCCGGCCCCAGGCATTCCCCTGCAGCCCCCATGGCTCCAGCCCCCTAATGCCCAGCCCGGCCCCAGGTGTTCCCCTGCAGCCCCCATGGTTCCAGCCCCTATTCCCCAGCCCGGCCCCAGGCGTTCCCCTGCAGCCCCCATGGCTCCAACCCCCTAATGCCCAGCCCGGCCCCAGGCATTCCCCTGCAGCCCCCATGGCTCCAGCCCCCTAATGCCCAGCCCGGCCCCAGGTGTTCCCCTGCAGCCCCCATGGTTCCAGCCCCTAATCCCCAGCCCGGCCCCAGGCATTCCCCTGCAGCCCCCATGGATCCAGCCACTAATGCCCATCCCATCCCCAGGCGTTCCCCTGCAGCCCCCATGAATCCAGCCACTAATGCCCATC